AGAAATAAACCTTTCACACTTAAGAGTGTTTGGTTGTATTTATTATGTACACATAGATTATGCTGAAAGAAGTAAACTTGATGTCAAATCCAATAAATGTGTCTTTGTTGGTTATGGTGGTGATGAGTTCGGTTACCGATTTTGGGACTACGAAAATCGAAAGATCATCAAAAGCAGAGATGTAATTTTCAATGAGAATGTGATGTAAAAAGACAGGTCAACTGTAGAATCAAGTAGCTCCAATAATGAAGCTGAAACAAAGGAATTTGCTGAGTTCGAGGAGATTTCTGGAAATGATGTTCAGATCAGTCCAGAAGTAGTTCAAGAAGAACCAGTCACACCAGAACTGAGACGCTCCTCCAGAATTCCTAAACCAACCCAACGATATTATCCTTCTTTGCACTACTTGTTGCTGACTGACAATGGTGAACCAGAGTGCTATGATGAAGCAATGCAAGTGGAGGATTCAGTCAAGTGGGAGTCTTCCATGAAAGATGAGATGGACTAACTTATGTCAAATCAGACGTGGGAATTAGCTGAATTACCACCAGGCAAGAAAGCGCTCCATAACAAGTGGATTTACAGGATCAAAGAAGAGCACGATGGAAGAAAACACTACAAAACAAGATTGGTTGTCAAAGGTTTTCAGCAAAAAGAAAGTATTGACTACAATGAAATTTTCTCTCCAGTCGTAAAACTGTCTACAATCAGACTAGTTTTATAAATTGTTGCTGCAGAGAATTTACATCTTGAGTAGTTAGATATAAAGACAGCTTTCCTTCATGGTGATTTGGAGGAATAAATCTATATGAGGAAGCCAGAAGGCTTCATAGAGACAGGCAAGAAAAACCTGGTATGCAGGTTGAAGAAGAGCTTGTATGGTTTAAAACAAGCTCCTAGACAGTGGTACAAGAAGTGCGATAGCTTCATAAGTAGCAGTGGTTTTACCAGATGCCAAGCAGATCATTGTTGCTATATCAAGAGGTTCGACAATAGCTTCATTATTTTATTGTTGTACGTTGATGACATGCTCATTGCAGGTTCAGACATGCAAGAGATTATAAACTTGAAGAAAAAATTGTCGAAGCAGTTTGCTATGAAGGATCTGGGCGCTGCAAAGTAGATTCTTGGGAAGAGGATAAAGAGAGACACAAAGTCGAGGACTTTGATGTTATCACAGGCTGAGTACATCAACAAAGTACTCTCCAGGTTCAACATGCAAGATGCTAAACCAGTAAGTACACCTTTAGGTGTTCATTTTAGACTCTCCAAAGAATAGTCACCAAAGACGGAGGAAGAACGTGCACACATGGTGAAGGTGTCATATGCCTCAGTAATTGGAAGTCTAATGTATGTCATGATTTGTACCAGACCAGATATTACTCATGCAATGGGAGCTGTTAGCAGGTACATGAATAATCCAGGCAAGATACACTGGGAAGCTGTCAAATGGATCGTCAGATATCTTCGATGTACTACAAATAAAGCAATTTGTTTCAAAGGTGGAGATACGATACTGACAGGCTATGTAGATGTTAACTTAGCCGGAAATGTTGATATCAGAAGAAGCACTACAGGGTATGTCTATAATCTAGGAGGTACTGTAGTGAGTTGGGTTTCTCAACTACAGAAGATTGTAGCTCTCTCCACAACTGAAGCAGAATATGTCGTTGTTACGGAAGCCAACAAGGAGATGGTATGGCTCCAAAGTTTCTTGAAAGAGTTAGGCAAGAAATAAGAAAACAATGTCTTGTATTGCGATAGTCAAAATGCTATTCATCTAGTAAAGAATTCGTCTTTTCATTCCAGGACGAAGCACATACAATTGCGATATCATTTTATCTTGTATCTTCTGGAAGATGGGATTTTGAAACTGGAAAAGATTAGTGGAGCTCAAAATCCAGCAGACATGTTAACAAAGACGGTGACTACGGACAAACTGAAGTTGTGTTCAGCTTCAGTTGGCATGCTAGAATAACAAGACCAGAAATGCTGCTGCATCGATCGAGGTGTGAAGACAGATTAAAATCAGTCTTCAAGAGGGAGATTGTTGAAAGTAAAAAACACGTGGGGCGGCTGACAAGAGAATTCAATTGGGCTGCTAGGGGCTGCTAATTTTTCAAAGTTAGGCAACCCATTTGTTTGAATTTAAGCAATGATTAATTACATTTTAGTCATTACACTTTAGGGTATTTTCAAAGATTAGTCCTTAAGCTTCAACTAGAAATACCCTAGCTCATTTAGCTTCAAAATCATCCAAAATCGTTTCTTTCTCCCAATACTAGAGAGTTTTCTTGTGAGTAGTGAGTGTTTTGTAAACACCTGTAAATTTTCTCTACTAGTAAAATATTTGCAGCAGTCCGGAGACGTAGGCAAAATTGGCTGAACTCCGTTATCAATTTCGGGTATTTTTATTTCGCATTCTCACTAATATGATTATAGGGAAATTACTCGTACTCGTTTTATTTCCCAACATGAAATACATCATAAATCTGACTCAACTTTGAAGGTGTGCTACGCTATCTGACCGATCCTCTCAATCACCTTATAAGTAAAACTGAAACTTGTATTGAGCTTTCCTTTATGATCAAATCAAAGAGTCTTCTTCCACGAAGATACTTTAAGAAATATTGTTTCCTCAACATCTCTACGTTTCAGATCTACGTAAGAATTCTATCTATCAAAAACAACTTTTAAACGGCTATGAATTAATGTAATTTTTTCTTCTATTTCCAGATCATCTGAAGTCTTAAGGTTAGACTCTTTTCTAACTTAGATCAATGCAAAGAATTTCAAAACATGCATCCATACAAAGCCTCGAATGATACCATCACAATAAAGGAATTATAACTATTTTATAGGAGAACTCAAACAACAAAAGTGATTTTTCCCATCCACCCTCGAAACCAATCACACAAGTACATAACATATCCTCTAAGATATACAATAATGAATTGTATATCAATAATGATAACAATAAACAATAATTAACAATATTTGAGATATCAATAACTTATCACTATATATCTAGAATATCCCTTTTGAATTGTCCATTCGTTTGTGAATGAAAAACAATATTAAGGTGAACTTAAGTGCCCAAGACTTCTTGAATTAATATCTGAAAATGATATGCAAATTGAGGGTCTCAATTAGAGATAATAAAGATAGAGACTCCATGCAGTCGCACTACCTCCATAATATAAAGATCAACAAGTTTAGGTAAACTGAAGTTGGTCCGAAAAGAAAGATAATGAGTTAATTAGAAAATATATCAATATTAACCCAGATAGAATCATTCTTCTTTGGATATAACGATAAGTTTATCACAAAGTTCATTTTGAGATTTTTCCCATTCCTGTTGAGGCAATTTAATAAATTGAAGTGGACCAGTTGAAATAAGATGTCTAGCCTTGACTTGTTGACATGTAAAACATTTTTCAATGAATTAAATAATGTTCTTTTCATTATTAAAATAATTCATATGGATTTGATTTTTTTATCTCATGCACATATTCATCTCGTAAATATCTATCAAATTTTAAACTAATCTTAATTCATTGTTATTCCCACAACAATAATTAATTAAAAACAATTAGAATAATTGGTACTATTATTTAAGAACATTACTATATAATAAACATGTAAATTATGATAATAATTAATTTATTAATCAAAATAACATGTATATGCAATATGCTTAGGACACTATTACTAGCATCAAACACTTTGGGCTGCAATTGGGCAACTTTAAGTTTCTAGAGTTCATTCCAAGAATGGGAAGAGTCACATCCCAGGGAAAGAGCAGTCATACAACGATTGTCGGAGGATGGGGTATTCAGTGTTCGTCGACAATGTTAGCAGGAGGATACATCAATCAACATTAAGAGAAGCCTTCTACGTGTACGGTGAAGTATTGGACGTATTCATTGCCTATAAGATTATCAAAAGGAAATAAAAAAAATGTATAGAAATATCAAAAGGAAATAAAAAAAATGTATCTTCGCTTCTGTGAGATTTAAGAAGGTCGATGAAGCCAACTGTGCAATTGAGAAGGGAGATGGTAGATTGATTGATGGGTTTATCATTAGATTTTTCAAAGACAAAAACATGGGTGTTTGCCCTAGGAAACAAACTAAGCGGACACTACAGCAAAATGGGTCTATAGCGGCATTTCTAGTGGCGTTTTTTGAACAAACGCCGCTAAATACTAATACTTTTATGGCGCTTTTATACAAACGCCGCTAAAGACTGTACTTTAGTGGCATTTTTCTACAAACGCCGCCAAAATACAATCTTTAGTGGCGTTTTCAAAACAAACGCCGCTATATATTAGTACTTTAGTGGCGTTTTTTGAACAAACGCCGCTATAGACTAGTACTTTTGTTGTGTTTTTATACAAACGCCGCTAAAGTACTGTACTTTAGTGGCGTTTTTGAACAAACGCCTTTATAGACTAGTACTTTCGTGGCATTTTTATACAAACGCCGCTAAAGTACTGTACTTTAGTGGCGTTTTTTGAACAAACACTGCTATAGACTAGGAATGACAGAACGACCCGAACTCGACGGGGAAACCCGAAACCCGACTAAGTTCGGGTTTGAAAAATTTTGAGTCGGGTCGGGTATCGGGTTTTTTCGGGGATTTTTTCAGGTTCGGGTTCGGTATCGGGGCAAGGTATCCCCGCCCCACCCCGACCCGATTATATATATATATAAATTTTATTATTTTATATTTTTTATATTTAAGTGATTTAACCTATCATATCAGTTCTATCTTTCCAAGATAAAAACCTTCATTTTTTTAAGGCTTTCTTTGGTGGATGGTTTTCCTACTTACTGTTTGCTTACAATATAACTCCAATTCAAACATGACGAATGGCCATGGACACTGTTTTCTTAATTTTAAAAAATGCTAGCACTTGCTTCTAAATTCAAACATTAAGAAGCTTTTAGCTTCAAATGGGAAACGAACATTATTTCCCTAAATGTTTAACAATATCTTCTTATTATAATAAACTACAAATTAGGGGGTGGATCAGTGGAGAATTGCACCTCTTGAAGAAGGCAAGCAGCAGCAGGCAACCAACGCCATGGAATTCGAAGAGATAATTTCGGGGGAATCTTCTCTTTCACATTTCCGGCGTAATCCGTTTCGAAAAGCAGCTTATCCCTTACATCCATCAAAACTTCCTGCAATGAAGAGGGAAAGAAGGAAATAGGTTTTTTTTTTTTAAATCCAAAAAAGGTAAAAAAAATGACCTCTTCGATCACCTGTCGAGAAACAACAACATCACTAGTGTAACCATCATCAACCTCGGTACCCTTCAAATTCATCACCGACTTCACAATCTCATTTTTCTCGGCTTGACTCGAAACGCCGATCAGCTGGTAACAACTAACCGGGATATCAACAACGGCGTTTCCTGCGACGGTTGATCCACGCAAGTTAGAAGGAGAAGACGATGAAACCAGTGCGTTGTTCTCGACAATGCCGGCGACGCATTGTTAATTTTGATCAGCCTTAAAAAAAATGAAGGTTTTTTGATTTTTTGTTAATTTTGGTTGTGTATATTTTGGTCCTGAATCTAGTACTCAGTTTCCTTTAATTATATTTTGAGGGGCTTTTAAATCGGATTTAATCTCTGGGACTTTGAAAATATGCTTGTCGTTCTAATTTCCATCGGGACTTTGAAGGAACAGATTCTCAGAAGCTTATATATGGCGAACTCGGAAGTCAAGGTTTGAAGGGGTATATCAGTGAGAAGATTAGTCTTCTTTCAAACTTGATAAGCCTGTAAGTATTAGTTATGCTACCCTTCTACGTCCTCAACTCAACATCATGTATACACAGTGAAGATATGAGGAATCAATGATTTACTAAGCATGATTACCTTTCTAACTTGTCGCACTTGGAGCATTTAACACAAATTATAGTCTTTCATTGCTGCTTCCTTGGGAATGACTTATCTTGTTAGTGAAAGTTACATGTTTTCTTTACAGAAATGGGTTCTCTTGGGGGGTTTGCGTTCCTTTTCCCAATTATCTGGGGAGCCCTCTTTTACATTTTGATTTGTGTTAAAGGAGAGAATTACTATGAACTTTGTGGTTGTGCCTAATGAATGTGAATCTTGAGTGGCTTTGTTAAGAGTAAAATTTGAGCCTTTGCATTAAAAATGGGTCTTTTCTTTCTTATTATGCCACCAATGTCTGCTATGTGTTAGACCTACATGAACCAATTATTCTTAGATGTTCATAGTTATTTGAATTTTGTTTGTGCAAAGGAGGTTAATATGTTTGCATTTGAACTCCGAAATTACTAAATATATGAACAAACTAAATTAAGCTCCGGGGTCATAGTTACTTGCACGAATGAAGTTGCTATCTTCTTGTCTTGTTTTCAATTCATAGATGAAGAATTATCCTTTTTTTGTGGACCCATGGTGGATCTTAACCCAATAGAATTGATTACTGCAGACTTGCATGTTTGTCACGCAATTTTATCACTTAAAAGCTCTTGCTTTCCGAGTTACTTTAAGAATTTAACATTGAAATTTGCTACAGATGCCCATTTCAGGAAAACTGGATTGCAAAGTAGGACATAGAAAAGTTACATGTATTTTTTAAATTGTTCAGGAACCTGAGTACTAATTCCTTGCACGATTGTAAGTGTTAATTCTTCCATTAAACTGAAGTGCACTGCAGACTCTTATAACAGTCTTTCTTCCATTTTTTTCTGGCATTTGTTTCCTTCTGCTAGGTGTTCTTTTTACTCTTAACGAGCAAAAAATATTGTTTGATCACAGTTTGTGTTGTAAATTTCTGTAACAGCCTTTTTCTGTTAATTTTCTATATCCTACTTTACTTTTCGATTTTCTGCAAGATGATGATTGATCAGTAGCTCCATGATTCAACTTTTTATAGAACCTTCTTGGACTATTGTGTTTCTTTTCTTGAAGTCGATTACTCTTATAAATTCCCAGGGAACATGCTCCAGTATAGAATATTATAGAGAGTAAATAGTCGGCTATTTTGTTTCTTGTGGTTGCACACTTTATGTTCAAGTCTTTTTGGTGTCATTACTTTCTCTATCTTTTCCTATTATTATACATTTATTAGGATTTTTCTGTTTTTATGTTGGATGTAAAAAACTATTTCTACTGGATGTGCATGAGAATGACATTGTAGCAATCATATAAGTTACGTCTATAATCCTTTATTACTTGATAACTTGTGTCATTTGGATGTTTAGGTACCTTTTGCCGTTGTTGCTTCAGTATGATTCAACTGTAGAGGAATGAGGAATCTGATACAGCAGAGTCCCATGGTGTTGGTGCTAGCATTCAAAAGAAGATTGGGAATGATGTTTGGAACTGTTGGAAATTGTGATGTTTGGAAATTTTGGATGAGGTAAATTGTGATATGGAAATTGTGATGTTTGGAACTGTTGGTTGAGGAATCACTATATTTCTTTGTCAACATTACTACTTTGACATGAATGATTGCTATTATGATTTGATGTGGTCTTTTAATCTTATTGAATTTAATAGCTAGTCGTCTAATGATTATAAATTTTACTTCATTTTTTATGGTTTTTTTGTCGGAGTCGGTAACCAACGTTTGTACTTCCAACGGTAATCGACACGACTACGAAAGCTCCAATACATTTTTGAAACTAGGGTAAATTCAATTGCGCAAACAAATACCAAATTTACTGTTAAAAAGCATCGACTGACTCCCTTTTTATTCTTCCTCGGATGTTTTGTAGGTTACCGTATGTTACAAATAATGTTGGGTAATGCTAATAGTCTCTGCTCTGCAACATGCCATTGGATAGAATTGTATATTTCTCACTTGTTATACATCAGTCCATTCACAGTGGTATGTACTTTCCTTGTATTACATATCTCGTTTATTTATTTTCTTCTGTTAGGGGTTAGAAAGCATGTACAGTCTGGCACAGAAAAACATTCAATTGAAACCAATGGCCTCTGCACATAAGTTGATGGGGCTTATAATTGAAATTCTTGGGGAAAATACTGAGGTGACAAATGGGGATAAAATATTAATTTACAATCTCCGTTAAATTCTCTTTTTGCTTCCTTATCTTTAAGTTAGATTGTGCTTTTGTCTGTTCTCAGGTTGTTTTAGCAGAATGCTTGAAAGGATTTGGTCCTTGGTAAGCTGTCATATTTCCATATTTATATATTTCAGTTTGTTAGGAATGCAGTTTTAGAGCCTTTTTCTGGGTGCTATTGATTTAAAATATGTTTGGTTCGATAAGCTGTTAGAAGTTATCATGAAATTCAAGCTTGGATGTTTCTACACAATTATTAAGATATGTCTCTATATTTTGCTTATCATCATGATGGTTGCCCATGCCATAGAGTTGTTGACTGCTGGGACTGACCATGCAAAAATGTGTTGTTAACTTTTTTAACGTAAGATATAATGGATTTTCATATAAACTGATGATTTATTTGGATATGAAACTAGAGATCGGGTTTGCATTGCCATGGATGGGGCCTTTTCAAGTGGCATGCCAATTGGAGTAAGACCTCATGAAGCAAAATATATGTGCAAGAAATGACAGGACGATACTAGCTCTGCATCATTGTTTTCCCATATAAACTGGATTTATCTCTTTGAATTTAAGCGCCTCATTGTGACGAAGAATTTTGAAGAATGTGTAAGATTAGAAGCAAAATATCTTAGATATTATTGTTTATTATAGTTAATAATGTTGAACAACATTATATTTTACGTTAATGTAAACTTTGATTTATTATTATGGATTTCATTTTTCTTGTTATGGATTTTAAGTTTGTTGTTATGGATGTAAAGTTTATTGGAAAATGCTACAGGTTAAATTTAGGTAATAAAAGAGTAGAAAACAACATTTGACAAATTAGTTTTAATTTGCAAAATCAATTTCTTTTAGCTATAGAGAGGTAATTAGCGGCGTTTGTTTCTTAAAACGCCGCTATAGATATGACCTTTTGTGGCGTTTGTTCTAAAAAACGCCGCTATATACTAGATCTTTTGCGGTGTTTGTGGGAAAAACGCCGTTAAATCTCAAGACCTATTGCGGCGTTTGTGGAAAAAACGCCGCTAAATCTCAACACCTATTGCGGCGTTTGTGGGAAAAACGCCGCTAAATCTCAACACCTATTGCGGCGTTTGTGGGAAAAACGTCGCTAAATATCAATACCTATTGCAGCATTTGTTGGAAAAACGCCGCTAAATATCAACACCTATTGCGGCGTTTGTTGACAAACGCCGCTATATATTGTTATCTATTGCGGCGTTTTTTGTTACCAAACGCCGCGAACTTTAGCGACGCTATTTTCAGCGGCGTTTTTTGCGACGTTTGTCATAGTGCCGCAGGTGTTTTTTGTGGCGCTTAAAAACGCCGCTATAGGTAAAAAAACGCCGCAAATGTAAAGTTTTGCTGTAGTGAGAGCGTGAAGGTATGGAGTAAACGATCGGCGTTGAAAGATTGCAAAACTTTTAAGGAAGCGTTGATGGGAATAACTCCAAAAGCAGTAACACCGATTGAGGAGATATAGTTGCCAGGCAATCAAAACTGTGGTGGAACAAATAGTTTAGTTAGTATAAGGGCAGTTGAAGATATGCCTGAGAACTCTTATGAACAGCAGGATCAGACTGTCAATCAGATTAAAATTTCTAAATCAAAGATGATGTGTCAGAATCAATGCCTTATCGGTCATATTAAAGGGATGTATAACGTTGATATTATCCAAGTACGGTTAAGATCAGAAGGGTATGAAGTTAAATTTATCCTTGGTATGGTTTTTTTGATGTTCTTAGAATTTACAGAAATGTTGGGGCTCTTAAGATACTGGAGTAATAGAGAAAAGATGATGTAATTATGGTTCGATGAGTTGGAGTTATTAGAAGGATTTGACAATAAAAGGAGGATCAAGTTGTAAACGGCTATGCATGATGCACCTTTACATGTATGGGAACCAAAATTCTTTGACGAATCACTACAACAAAATAGAGTTTTAGTGGCGTTTTTTGAGTCCTATAGCGGCGTTTGATCCAAAAAATGCCGCAATAGGTCAAGATCTATAGCGGCGTTTTTGGAACAAACGCCGCAAAAGGTCTCTATCTATAGCGGCGTTTGTTCCAAAAGGTCGATATATATAGCGGCGTTTTTAGAACAAACGCTGCAACAGGTTTGTTTATATAGCGGTGTTTTTAGAACAAACGCTGCAAAAGATCAGATCTATAGCGACGCTTTTAGTACAAACGCCGCAAAGGTCAGATCTATAGCGGCGTTTTTAGAACAAACGCCGCTAATTACCTTTCTTTAGCTAAGATTAATTGATTTTGCATATCATGTAGCTTTATTTAATTAACAACAACCATATATTTTAATTAAGACACAAGTTATACAGAAAAATACTTAACAACAAAATAAATTAAAATTTATAAACATTAAAATTAAATGTAATATACTTTTACATTGTTCTCTAGAATTTAGTCTAGGTTCTTTCACTTTTAATTAAAAAAATATTGTTCAATAGAATTTATTCTTATTGCTCCGGATCACCAAGAAGACTCATTGCGCTCTTCAGTGCTTCACTTGAAATAGATAACGACCTTCCACCTACAGTATAATGTTCTATTGGAGGTGGCTTGGGAACTGAATCAAACATTAAACAAAAAAATTAAAATAAAAGAGAGAAGTGTTTATTTGGAGTAACAGTAGAGACAACTTCGTATTCATTGAGGATAGATAATGCTTTTACAAATAGTCGTACAAGCGTTCCAATCGTGCCGTCACGATTAGCTTGTGAGAAGTTTGAAGACCGAGCTTACCCAAATCAATTATATCCCGTTTCAAGCTGTTCATCACAGTTTTATTATCTGTTAGTCGCTATTTTGAGTTCAGCTTTCATCATTCCACAACTAAAAAGCTTAAACAAGGCGCAAGTAGATAAACTTTTAAATCATTTGAGAAATACATGAATCAACCAACCTTTTCCATTCTCCGGTTGACTTAGCATGTCTTCTGACAGAATGGTATAAGCGTTCTAGACAATAAATCGACAACCCAAACATGCATTGTGCATCATTTTCCTGAAAAGGAGCGGCAAATATGTCATCTCTTTTAGCTCTCACTGGAACATAGATGTGGGAGAGATATTGGTATATGCGGTATCGAGTCGAAGCAAAAGGAAATTTGGTTTAGTCAGACAAAAGAGTTGTAGTTCAGCAGTATTCTAATCCTTCATTAGAAAGACCGAATGCAGCATACTAAATGTAAATACAAATAAAGGGTGCCTAATCCATAAAAATACCAATGCACAAACATATCAAGAGCATATGAAATCACACTATCTAACAAATGATATAACGATATTTAGAGGGTGAATATGCATTCAGAAAAAAAAAACACTCAGAGCCAATGGAAAGAACGAAAGTTGCTTCCAATTCTCCCCACTGCCACGGTACGAGAAGAACTGAAGATGTCAACTCAATCTCGTTTATTCCTCACTAACAAAAGTAAATGAGTAATGAGCAACTTCAGGTGCTTACACTTTGAAAATGGCTTGCCCATAATCTAAATTTAATCAAGGCCCTTTGTTTTTCAAATACTGCTAAATAATGCATGTAAGTATAACCATCTAAACAGTGGCAACAAATTAAATGTTGAATAGAGTGTGGCAATATAAATTTGTATAACCATCTAAACAGTGGCATCACTAACCTAGTATCTTGTCCCTTCATATAGTGAACAACAAATGGAATTTACTTAAGAGAATTAATAACATATTGTATAGTTTTAAAGTGTTCAGACCTGTATAAACCATACACGCACGGCTACGATCAGACCAAGAGACGGATAGAATGCTGACAAGGCAGCAAGGATTGAAAAATTGATTTCATTTGCTCTGAGAATCTGATCCAGTTCAAGCATTGCCCTAGTTCAATGAGCATCATAAGAAGTAAGAACAATGAGAATTGAAACAAACCGCAATGCCAATAATATTTACGCATCTATGTTGGAAAAAGCTGGTGTTGAACTCACATCTCAATATCCAGTTTTAACTTCTGAATCTGCAGTGGAAAAGGCATGAGGCTAAGCAACCAGAATAAAGGGAGGCAACTGCATGGTAAAAATAACGGGCATTACCTGGATGAGCAGAGCACGAGCAAGCTCTCCCTGGAGAATATTCTGGATAGGATTGATAAGTTCCTTTTCATATCTACATTATTAATCCCAATGAATTAGAGTTACTCTCAAAGAAGAAATTTTCCACACTAAGAGAATAAAACCACACCATGGGAGTTCAGTTAAGCAATATATCATATTAGCAATCAAAGGAACATATTTATTCGGGAATTATGTCGAAGTATGAACATGAAAAAAGAGGAACATATTTATTCTGGAATCATGTCAAAGTATGAACGGGAAAACATGAAAATTGAGAATGCAAGACTATTCCAGGTGTATCGGCATTTATAAAAACTTACTATTACTTATCATTTTGGCCTAGAGCAATTTTTGCACCTAAAGTTTTCATACATGTAAAATACCAAACAAAAGAACAGGTTCAAATTTCACCCATAAGGCGTGCATCATAAGTCATTAAGCGCAAACATGATTAGGATTACCATAATATTAGAAAGAAAGTTGCACCTTGACATAACAATCTCAAGCATTTCCTGATCTGATGCATTCTTTGGGAATTCTTTACCCTTTGTTTTGCTCACTGAAAGTCGATAACATTCTGCAAACCAGAAAGCAGCTATGTTAAGAAAAATCATTTTGCAAGGCTTTCAATAATATAACAATTGCCTTTGAATGAAAAAAACTTCATTACATCCAATCACCATAAAAGAAGAAAAGATTAAATGGTAATGGAAAAGAAATTAAAGCCAAATAAAACAAATATCAAGCAACTTAGAACCAAACGTCCTTTGTTTCTTATATCTCAAGCAAAGATTAGAGTGGTGAGTACAAATCTTTTTTGTACATATAGAGGCCGATTGGACTTTGAACTAGACAGTAGCCCTTCTTTCAACTTAACAAAGAGAAATTGAACTGTTAATCCATCAAACCATTGGGTTCAAGAGAAATTTCAAATGGGTATTCCAGAAATCACATTGCTGGAATGAAAAAAAAAGAAAAAGCAGGCCTAAATAAACAGACAAACCTATAAAACGTGGAGAAGGCGAATGATGTTGGAGTGATTAACAGAGGAGAGAAAACACAGAAAACAATTCGGAAACTTTCGATCGTCAAATGAGAAAAGAGATTTGGTTTCGCGAGAGAGTGTTCACTATGGGAACATGGGAGAAACTGAGATGAAGCACTCTTACGCAACTAGCAACAGATGAGTTTGGGTAAACGGCGAGAATGAAAAAAATAGATGAAGGGGAAAATGAAAAAGGGTTAAAGGGGTGAGACTTAGAAACTGTAAACTTGCGGCGTTTGTAAATAGAAACGCCACTAATGTACTGATAAATTGCGGTGTTTATTAAAAAAAACACCACTAATGTATGAGTCTTTCGCGATGTTTTTTTATTAAAGCGCCACTAAAGTACTATGTTTTAGCGACGTTTGTTGGAAAACGCCACTAAATTACGAGTATTTAGCGGTTTTTTGGTTAAAACTCCATTAAAGTATT